GCAGCTAAGACATACGGACACGCTAAAAACACGTTTTTAAAAAGGCAACGGAAGCAAAACTGAGTTCGGCTGTACTTTATTTAGCCATTTTACAATGTACTCACGCGAGTGGTACCTGCTAGGGGCGTGCCTTTAGCGTCCTCTTACACGCCTACCCTTCACTCACTGGCGACTGGTACCTGCTAGGGGCGTGCCTTTTGCGTCCTCTTACTGCCTACCCTTCACTCATTGGCGGACTTCCGCATTCCTGTCGTCACTCACGTCCGCCTTTTCTCTGTATAAACAGCGTGTCGGCCCGAAGAGCTCTCAGTCAGGCTTTGGAACTCGGCGCATACACTAGACGCTCCGCATTATAAGGCGTCCTGTCCATTTTGGAGAAGATTTAAGACTTTTAATGGCGCTTTATAGTCGTGAAAATACGGTACTTAATATTGTGTGTACTCCGTGAATAAATTTAGAGGCTCCTCAGACCATGTGGATGTTCAAATAATGAAGGATAAGCTTTTAAAAAACAATGTCAAACATCTTTTTCCCCAAAATGCACAATTATTTATTTAATTTTGAAACTCAATCTTCATAATTTTAACGTTAATAACTTGCATCGTGATTTTGCTTATGAGTTGACTCATGTCCTAAATAACCACGAAAAGCATTGTTCTCATCAATTTGAAGCTCGTTCCATTCAAACGCTTGGACCGAGTTTTCAGATTGTGATGATACCACCACATCTCAAATTTACAAACCGACTGCGTGATTAATTTGCGGGGAACGAGCTTGTCATTCTGATTCATGAACATATGCATGGAGGAAGACAATCACAAGACAGGTACACACGTGCCATGAATACAATGATGATTTTTGTGTCTGCACTCAATTTAAGCGCAGGGATGGAAAATGTCAACGTATTTTAGACTTCAATCCCTTAAAATCAGCGTTCTTCAGGGATTGAGAATGGTACAGGTGCATAAATACTTCATCCGGATAACCTTCAGCATTTTGAGAGAGTGCATCACCTTAATCCACATCCACCAGTAAAAAAACAAATCAGGTGCTAATTTTAACAAACAAAAGACTGTTGTTTAGCTTTCTGTCTTCATTTTCCCCTTCAGAGCATCAAATGAAGTGATCATGTTCCTGCGTGTAGCATGATTACATTTGGGGATTAATTATCCCTTGTTTGTTTTTTGTGACGTGTTATTCAGTTGAATGACAAGATAATAAACACTTGTCTTCTGCCAAGCAGGTGTTTGTCGGCAACAATACTTAAGGGAGCATTTTAACCCTTTCGGAGTCAGCGGTTACTACAGCGGACAGCTTACTGATCATGTTATCAGGTTACTGGGTGCATGAAAGGGTTAAATGAAGGTAAGTGTGGCGATAGGTGAACATATGAGGAACAAGAAAACAAGCCATCCCTGATCACCAACTCCCCGAAAGCCAGTGTGCAATGGTATTTCCTTTTACTTTTCCTCCTCAGTCTGTCAGGACTCTAAAATGTAGAATAAGACTCACTCATCAACCCTGATGTTGTAAATTGTTTTGTTTTTTTTGTTTTTTTTTGCATCAATGTCTTTACCTATTCCATATTCAGTAAGGCGGAAAATGCTGGTCTGACCAAAGCCAGCATTCGGTGGTTTACCTAATTGCTAACCACTAGCTGTACATATCGCGTGGAATGAAGACAATGCTACATTTAGGGACTTCGAAAGAAGATTACGCACACACAAAGAAACAAGGCAAGTCACAGATGAAGAACCAGCCGACTACCCTCTTCAAAGCAGCACTTGCTATAAGTGATGGTTTGACACCCAAAGTGAAAAGGGGAGCCGTTATGGTTGACGCAGGAGCGACCTCTCACATCGTAAATGACAGAAAATGATTTACTAGCTTTGACAGTACGTTTCGACCAGAGACTCATTCAGTGGACGTTGCTGATGGAACACGTTGCAGTGGAATGGCTCCAGGTAGAGGAACAGCAATGATAAATCTCCTGAACGATGAGGGAAGAATGCACAGAGCACAATTGCCTGACTCTGTACCGTACATGCCTTCATATCCCCACGACATTTTTTTCCAAGTGTCCAGAGCAACTGGCAGAGGAGCAACATGAACTTTCAAGCAAAGAGAAAGCCACATGGTCACTAAAGATGGTAACAAGTTTATCATTCGTGAATATGAAGAACTGTATTACCGACCAACAGTTAATGATAATGACCATTTTAAATAGTGTCATGACGTCCAAACCTGGCATGAGATTCTCGAACATTGTAATTTTACAGATGTACTCCAGCTCCCAAGTGTGGTAAAAAGGTATGAATGTCAAGGGGGATGTAGTGAAGCCAGATCAGATGTGTGAAGTCCGTACACAAGGGAAGTTAATTCAAACAAGGAGTTGGGAGCCAGACGGCAAAGCAGAGAGACCATTACAATTTATATCATACCGACCTGGCAGGCCCAATGAAGTATAGTAAGATACAAGTATGCATAATGTTTTAGTGATCATTTTTCAGGAGCAATACTGGTGTATTTCCTACCTCTATAAAAGTGAATGTGTTTCCGAAGGCGTAAAATGTGAAACGGGACACTGATGGTGTTTTGGTAAACTCACCTGACTTGTGTGCGGGCAGCGTGGGATCGGTTCCCACTTAGTGACGGTGTGTATGTGGGTGTGAATGCTCGTTTGTCTCTCTATGTGCCCCTGAGACTGACTGGCGACCAGTTCAGGGTGTAGTCTGCCTTCCGCCCAAAGTCAGCTGGAATAGGCTCCGGCAACCTGTTCAGGATCAGCTGTGATGGATGCGGATGGATGGATAAAATGTGAAATGGTGACAAATCCACATTTATTATACTGTTATATTTGTATATTTGTCGATATTTGATTCGGAACAAGTAAAGGAAAAAAAAACTGCAAACTGGACGTGAAGAGCAGCAGTCGTGTCCTTATTGTCTCCTTTCTATTCATATTTTTTCAGGGTTCACAAATTACTACTACGGTCACCTTACAGCCTAGGGACTGGTAATACTTGTGTTAAAAAAATGGAAGCAAGAAAGCCACAGATTTGATCACACTGTTGTCATCTGATTTAATGCTAACCGACATGTTTACACAACACTTCTTTGGTGGAATTTTGTGAAGATGTAGTGACTTCTTAACAGACTAAAAGTATTTAGTAAGTTAAAAACTCTGATTAAAGTAAATGAATTCACTGTCTTTCATAATACCGGTAATTAATATTTTACTTGCCTTCATTTTAGCGTAAACCCAATTTATAAGTCCAAAATAACTATGTATAATAAAGCTAGTATTGTTCAATGAAATACAGATGAATTATTGGCTTTGTTTATACATTATGTCATGAAATAATTATAAATGAAATAACAACTGCAATATTGGGGGCGAGGTTGCAATAAAAAAAACAAAAAACACTTTCTTGCATTTTTCGTTTTCTCCCGACAAAAAAATCGAGACATAGTGCAACCGTATTATTGTGCTGGCATTCCTTTATTTTAAAGGCCTGACTTTTTCGGCTATATTTCATGCCCATGATGCCCGAGAGTTGCTGAGCAGCCCGAAGTTTCGTCGTTGCCTTCAGTTGTGAATAAAAGCTTGCATTTTGGAATATGCCTTCCTTTCTGTTGAATCACTTCAAAACCCAGTATGAATTCAAATATTGTTTATTCATAAAACCATAAATACACATTTTCAATTAACATCATCATTTGACTGATTTTACCGAAGTTAACACGAAAGCAAGTACAATTCTATATCAGCGCAAATTCCTCTATTTTACTTAAACTTGCACCTATGAATGCTGAAGTCATAATTTTTTTTCTGTATTCACATTGCAATCAGTGAGATACGAAATGTGACCAGAGTTTTTCTCGAGCAAGCAAATGAGAGACAGGGATAAACATGCAAGAAAAAAAAATAAATCCAAACAAGTTGGCAATGATAAATTAGCTACGACATGAATCTTGAGACAGCTTATATTTGTGTGACATGCTTTGTGGATACACTGTTGATTCAGGGGCATATTTTCCCATTCACGCTTAATTTTCTTTTTCTTTTTACACACTTTCAAAATGCGGGGATTCGCCTATCCAGACTTCTGACCCAAATCATCAACAAGATGCATGACCCGGTCCTCTCTTTCATCTCCCTGGTCCTTCACATACTCCTCAGCATGTCTAGTTGAGTAATGACGTCTGATTTCTTCAGCACCACAACTTTCTCTGTGCTTTCAAGACATGTTTGGGGAAACCCCTTGCACTCCACTAAATAAAACGTTCCGTCTCCCATTTTTCTTGAAATGGGCTGTTCTCGTCAACAACCTTTCTCTTCATGGCAGGTTTTGAAAAATACATCACTGTGGGCGATTGACAGGATATATTTACTTTTCACACCTCGCTTGAGAATTACGTTTTGCTAAAAGCTGTCATGAGCCTGACCGATGGGAGCCCAAAAGTGAAGTGAAATGAAAATAACTACAAAAAAGACACGGCAAAATAGGTGGGCGCCGCATTGACATTTAACTTTGATGTCAAATAGGGGGCTGCAAAATATCATCTTGAGACTTCTGCCATAAAAGTAATTCAATCAGAATACGGTGCTTATGACCATGTTTGAAACGTCAGAGTGTTGATCAGCCGTTGCTGTGAAACCATTGTGTCAAGCAACACATGCGGGAGAGTCACTTTTAACAGATTTTGACTGGCATAGATCAAAATTCAAAATACTTTCAGGACCTCTTCAAGATCTTTGCTTTTTGTTGTTTTTGTCTTTTGTTTTGTCAAATGGTGTTGGTTGTCCTTCATGTGGACACGATGTGGACTGTTTTTCAGCGTTTTGGCCACGACATTCGTCAAAGGAGAATAATCTGTGCTTAATGGGTGCGCCTTCTCTGCAGCACGTGTGTACCAGCACCGATTTGGATTTTGACTGGGAGGAATGTGCTATCTGACTGTCGCTCCTGGACAGCCCCCGGGCGATTCTGATTTTAGCACCTGTCATGGGCACCAATTTTCACAGCCCCGTTTTGTTCAGCGGAGATGTCGGCGCTGTTGGACAGTCTGCGTTGGTGCGGCTGAATGGATGGCTGCTAAGCCGAGGATGAGGAGAGAGGAGCGTCAGCGTGGAGCGCAAATGCGTGTTTGGAACTGAGAGTCGCGCTTGAAATTGAAGCGGATTTATATGGGACAAGAGAAGTAAACCGAACCAATCTCTTTTTTTTTCGTCTTGTAAATTTAGCTCGTAGGCGACGTGTGCACATTTTGAGCATGACGTCTCTGATCCACTGGTGAAGGGACACTTTGATTCTCTTCTCTTTCATCTAGTACTACTTCAACGAACAAAATGTATGCAGGAATAGTGGTTTAAGATTGCATGACTGTCCGTGTCTGATGTCATGTGTTATATTATTTTGTTATTCTAACTGTTAAAGGGCTTTGTTACAACTGCAGCTGTTGTGAAAGTGCTGTATAAATTAAGTTGTATAAATAAACAAATGGCTCAAAATCGAATTCATGGCGCCATCACAATGTCTGTGATGGCCGCTTTTAAAACTTTAAGCACCCCCCCCACCTCTCCCCACCCCCCATCAGCATGTGGAAATGCTGATTGGCCGGTGATGGCTCTCACCATCCGTCAGAGAGCAGCCGAAATAACTCACAACGTGCAAAATGATGTTTGACCCTCACAGGACGCTGTATTTAATATAATGAATGTTAAAGACAAAAAAAAGAAAAAACATGGCTACCTTTCTGACAGAACACTCATTTCATGGTCGCTTCACCCAGAATGCGCATTTTTCATGAAGGTGCAAAAATGTTATACTTAAGTCGATGGGAGAATCTGTGCAGCCCCTCCCCCCAAAAAAGTGTGCCACAGCGCACCTTTTCTGACTCAAGCACATGGGAGAATATGCCCCTTCGAGTGTCCAAAACCTTCCTCCCCCCAGCTTTTCACAATGAGTCAGTCCATAGGAGGCCTAGTATTGACTAAATGGTGCAGTCTCCTTCAACTCATGGTACCCCTGGTGGTTTGGCTCTGTGAAGAGACAGAGAGGTCGTTAGAATGACTACAAATCCATCCCTCCCACATTCACCGTTAGTTTTCACTCTGACTGATAGAGGTGATTCAGTATGGAAATGTGGAAAGCTCATAAAGCATCAAAATACAAACTAAAAATTGTGCAGAACAATGATCGCCATTAACACACTTGCATGTAATGTGAACATTTTTTTTTTTAGAACATTGACAGTTGTCAAGTTCACTTAATGATTTTCTGTACATCCCAAATGATGTAGGTGAAAATAGCCACAAGTAGGATACGTTTAAGTGTGTAGATCAGTGTTACGGTACCAAAACTCATATTCTCTTCCACCATTGGCCTCTGTTCATTGCAGTTTACAATTCTTCCCTGCGCCGCTCCCAGAATAGTCATGATATCCACAAGGTTGAACTTTCCTTCCTCTTTGGCTTCCTGCACCTCCTCGGCCAACTCCATTGCGGCCTCCTCCCGTTCTTCCAACTCCTCTTGGCTCAGCAGTGCGTTCAGTCCTTGTCCCGCTGTCGTCTTACCAACCATGGGCGGTGCCAGAGAGCATAAAGCTCGAACCTTCCCATATGACTTGAGGTGTGCGACATTCGCCCGCAGGAAGAGCAGGAGCACATTGAGATCATTCAGGGGACATCCTAGCCTGCGTTTGTTGAGAACATCCAGGGCTGGAAGGACCTCGTATACGGAGATGAAGGTGGTGTCCCAAACGAAGAGCCGAATGACACTGAAGAGGACAATTGGTGCCAACAGAACATAGATGGCCCCATTAGCCACGCTGATCACCTGAAAGACCAACTGGCCGATCATTTTACATTGAACCAGCTCAGGAATCCAGTTCTGATCCCGTAGCATGCCGCTACGCACAAAACAGCTGAACTCATCCTGCAGGAAGGCGGACAGGTGGAAGTAGGCCAGATAAAGACAGGCAGCTGTCATGAAGGTCAGCAGGAGGAAGCCTCGCAGGAAAAGCATGCTCACAAGGAAGTAGGAGTTTTGCTTGCATTGCATGTATCTCTCCAGGAGGGGGTACTCAAAGTACCGCTTCCTCTTTGCTCTGCGAGAGAACAAAGAGAGAAGAATGTGAGCACCATCTTCCATTTCAATGTTCATACAGCTGCTCATGATTCTTGGGAAATGAGGACATTCTATATTTAACTCGAAGGAGCTGCTTACCGCATTACGCACAGTAGGCTTCCAGAAAGACTCTTTCCCCTAACTTTGCGGAAACGTGACCTTATCATTACTCACGTACATTTACCGTATTGGCCCGAATATAAGACGGCCCTGATTAGAAGACGACCCCCTCTTTTTCAAGACTCAAGTTTGAAAAAAGACTTTTTGAACACCAAATTAATTTTGATCCAGAAAATAACTACAGTACATCTGAAACAAATGATTATAACAATATATTGGAGAGAAAAAGCATGTTATTTTGCCTCATTCAAATCTTAATGTCTGAACATTTAAATATGTAAACTAAAGTGCAATCACATTCGCAAATGAATGGCTTCTGGTTTTTGAAATGCAAATGACATCATAGCTTCTCCTCAGCTGCCGGTTAACCTGGCCGATCTTCGACCCACTTTTCTCCAGATTGTTTCTACATTTCTCCATTTTCTGTTATCTCTTCTATTATTTTCTTTTCTTTCTTACCGCTATTTTTTATTTTTCTTCTTCGTGCTACCGCTATTTTTATTTTTATTCTTCGTGACAGGGGTTCACTTTGGCCTGGGGAATCAAGTTAAGCATTCGCTTCAATGATATCTGCCGCCATCTAGCGTCGTGAGTGGGTATAATGTCTAGACCCCGAATTAAAGACGACCCCCACTTTTTCAGTCTTATTTCAATGCAAAAAAACATTCATCTTATATTTGGGCCAATACGGTAATTGGGTAGAAAGGGAGAGCACTTCTACTTCAGCCGTATTTTCACAATATATTCCATGTATTGAATAAAAAGAGAATAATATTCATCTTTTGCCCAACTTTCACAAAGCATTGACTGGCTGGAATGGACAATTTTAATATGACCTTTATTCATCACAGTCACATCTAAAATAATCTTTACCAGCCATGTCCTTGAATTTGAAAATACCCCGACCTTGTTGATAATGCAATGTTAAGTTTTCCTTACATATGACAGATCTTGGCATCTTTGAAATTTCCCAGATTTCTACTTTTCGTGAAGTGGTGGTCAATGCTTTTTTTTTTTTTTTAAGGCATTCCACTGTGCCCCAGTGCACAAAATGAGGTCCATAAAGACATGGTTGAATGAGAATTTGACTGGCTTTGCGCAAGACTTGACCTCACCCTCAAAGAACAACTTGAAGAATGAACCAGAGCTGTAATTAGGAGTCATTCCGCCATGGAAGTGAGAAGGAAATTATGTATAACCAAGTTATCAAATGTAATGGTTCAGATCATATATTCAAATCATATATCTCAATGTATGTTACACACTTATACTTTGTACATATATTCATATATAGTCTTCTAAACATATATTCTTCTATATCCTGTTTTGTTTTGTTTCATCTCTTTTTAGTTTTGTTTCATCTTTTTCTAGTTTAGTGAAGAGTATACTAACCACAATTCCAGGAAGGAACATGGGGTCAGAACACCCTGGCCGCCCAGAAGCCAGGTGCAGGGGTAAACAAATATATTTGAATAAAACAATGTCCAAATAAAACAAGGGTTAAAGTCTTCATACATGTCATGTCATATTGATTTTCATATTGATTGTACTGTTGTAATTCTTGTAACTCCTAATAAAAGCTCGGGTATGGGATGGAACGACAGACATTTGATCAGCTCGCTGTGGTTTCATCTTGCATCTTGCCTTGGGTGTCCGTGTCCCTTTGTCTCTAAACTTCCTACTTGTCGTGGGGAGGGTTACTCCAACGCATTGGGCAGGATTCTCCCATGACAGGATGAATGGACAAAAATCCCAAAGACACACTCCGTAATCTTAGAGGTCTTCCTAGAAGCCGTTTTAGTTGCTGAGAGGAATCCCAGTCATTATTTTCGTTCATTTTTGTTTCTATATATACAAGTCAACACATTTAACAAAGGGACGGGTCATTATTTCTTACCTCTGCAGCTCTGCTTGAAACGTTAATGGGTTCTTGGTGTTCTGACGCATATCAAGGATGCTCTGAGCCAATCGGACTGAGCGGTTGTACGATTTATCCAGTTCGTCAATGACGAAGAGCAGGTCTGAGCCCAGGGAAGGCATAACAAGCTGGCGCCAGATAAGAGCTGGCAGATACATTAACACCGCCATAGCCAGAAGAGAATACGGGAACATCTAGAGAAAGAGTGACAGACAGAAAATGGAAGAAGATTCAAAATGGTGGGCAGCAAAAGCAACGACAATCCAATTTCTTTACGGTATGTTAGAGCAGTGGTCCCCAAACCCAGAGCCTCGGACTGGTACCGGTCCGTGGGTCATACGGTACCGGGCCGAAGAAATAGAATAAATAACTTACATTACTTCCTTTTTATTTATTTTGGAATCCGAAAGATGTTTTATTTTGAAAAATTACCAGATTCTCTGTTCCATCCGTCTACAATATGTCACTCTTGACGCAGGTCAAGGCGCGCTTCTCGGTCACGTGATAGGTTACCCGCTAAAATGAAAGCCGGGAGATAGAAAAATGAGTAAAAAAACAAACGTCTTTGGAAAGTTTCTTTTTGAAGGGGACAGAAGAGGAGCCTACGACTTTCAAGAAAAAGAAGGCTACATTTACTAAACAGTATCAGGAGTCCTACTTAAAATACGGATTTATCTCAAGGGGAGATTCCCACGCACCAAGCCCACTCTGCATAATATGGCACAATGGTGAATCGTATTTGTGGTGGCGTATCTTATTTTGAAGGCACGTTTAAACGTTACTATAGCGACCAGAGAGTGTTGCGGCCAGATAGGACATTTCTCATGTCATGTTTCGTGTTATTATTTTTTAAAAAATTCCACAGTTTTCATGCAGGTCATATCATATAATTTTGTTTATCCGCCACACCTTAAAGGCCGGTCCCTAAAAATATTATTGGACATTAAACCGGTCCGTGGGGCAAAAAAGGTTGGGGACTGCTGTATTATAGTACTGATACTTTTTGGTGCCTTTGTGATTGCCATAAATGTCACAAAAACAGAGCTGGTGGTTCTACCAACTTAACAGTCAGACTCATAATGAAGAGGACATGTAAAGGCGCCATGTTCCAAATGAATTTCACCCACTTTGTGTACCCAAAGGGAGCGCTCCTCAAAGTTGCCATTGCCGTCAAACTCGTGATGCATGAGGGAGTCCCAGCAATATGTATCAACATAGCTGGCCTGCTTCATTGTGAAATTGCTGGGAGGAAAACAGCTGATCTGCGGCCCTGCGGGAAAAAAAAACAACAAAAAAAAAAACAAAGCAACGTTATCAGGAACGTAATCTGCTCATATGGGAATTTATATTTTGAAAGTGTGCTGACATTATGAGCACAAACCTGACAAATGAGCTAATAGACCAGGGGTCGGGAACCTATGGCTCGCGAGCCATATATGGCTCTTTTGATGATTGCATCTGGCTCGCAGATAAAAAAAAATATTCTCGTTTGTTTATTAATGCATCCATCGATGGATTTTTCACTGCTTATTTCCTGTTTGGGCTGCAGTTGGCTCCAGGAGCCATTTTGATTGGATGATACTGGCCAACGTTGCCGTTGCTGTGGAAACAGGTATACGCCCCCTTTTGAATCAACCCGCTCGGCCATTAGCTCAAAACTAATCCTTAGCGAATAAGATGGCGAAAAGAAAAAAAGATGACGAGTTTGGTAGACTTCAGGACGAATGCACCGAAGGATTCGCCTTTGTGGAGAGAACGGGTTCTGCGGTGTGTCTGATTTGCAATGTCAAAATACCATCGATGAAACGGTCGAATGCAGAGCGGCACTTTGACACGCCCCATGCTACGTTCGCATCAAAACACTGTGCGAGAGATAGCCGAAAGGAAGCGAGCAAGCTACTGAGCAGTGTGCAAGCTTGCCAGCAGTAACTTCGCGTATGGACCCGGCAAGATGACTTTCATTCCGATAGTTTTGCTGGATTTTTAGCACAGTGTGTGTGTATATACATATATATATATATATATATATATGGCTCTCACTGAAATACATTTCCAAATATTTTGCTTTTATGGCTCTCTTAGTCAAAAAGGTTCCCGACCCCTGTTATAGACCATTCGATAAGGTTTTCAATGCGTTAGGTGCGAAACTATTCAAGGGTGGTTCGATTTGAAAGTAGGAACGATTCAATTCGGTTCCAGTCAATGAGATCACGATGTGATTCGATATGGTATGGCTCAATTTCAGAGAGTATGATGCAATGACTTTTGTTGTAATTGAACACACATTTGAATGAAGTTGCCAATACGGTAAATGTGCCATTTCCTTTAAAGATATAGCTCTCCAATAAAAGTTGATTCGATACGTATCTCGATACATTTCAAAGTGGAATGACTGGGTTCGATTCGATAAACTTGTATCATTTACATCAGAAAACGGTTCAAAACATTTTCTTGTTTGTATTAGCTGTTCTTATGACTACCAAATCATTTCAAAGGCAAATTTGTCTCTTCCCTCCACCGTGCAGGAAATAAGATTGCTGCTAGCACGAGATTGTGGCTAATATGAGGCTAACAGTTGGTGTTCTAGCTATTCATATTTTTTAAAAACAGTTGCTGGATGGTCAGAGAAGTCATCTGAATACAGTGACGATTATGGAAGTTGACAACACCGAAACCAAGTCGCTGCTCTTGTTTGTTTGCACTGCAAAAAGCAGCGCATCCTTGATGTTTTAGCTTGAATTCCCAAAGGCTGCAGAGACTGGACAAGCCGGCTGTGGCCCGCGGGCTCCACTTTGTCCAAATCAAGGCACATTGTGTTGTGGCAAAAGCCCACCTAGCGCATCGCACCTTAGGAGTGGCACCATTCCGTGACGAGGGGTTCCTTGTTGATGGTGCTAGTGGGCTCTAGAATGGGGTTAGGTGTCCATGACTGAATGTGATGTTGTTGACAAAGACATGTTTTTAAAATTTTTTAACATGTGGAATACTTAAAAAAAAAAATGCTGTATAAACGGTATGCTAAATGTTGCGCACCATTTTGAAAACCATCTGTGACTACTTCCCAAAATTGGGCTTCTTCACCTTGTACTTAGTTGACATTCACACAGCCACATATAATCCAAACAACCCACACCCGGCTGTCATTTCACGACTGTACTCCACCCTTAAACACAAACTAGGGAGGGAAAAGAGCTGTGCCCCACCAACATTGACTGAGCCTCACAAATTGAAGCGTAGGGCATCTATTTTTGAAACGTAGCCTCCACATATGCTCTGTAGGAACACACTCTCTCTAATTAAATCTTAGGATGTCAGGTCGTCTAACGCATTAGGAGTAAATGTTACATCGTCTCCATATAAAGCGTACAACATGCTTAGAATCGAAGGAACATTTTTTCCAATATACCTGAGCATGCCAACACTGACACGCTTGATATCATCATGATAGCTGTGAAAAATGCAAACAGATACAGTCCATGGATGAATGCATGGCTGTTAATTATTTTTCCCCCGCTGGCAATTAACCGTCTGAAATTCTTGGCAAATGTCAGGCATTGTTAGAAGACATCGCCGGGGGGGTAAATTTTGTACTCGGGGAAACCAGGCTCTCGCATCAAACTTTTGTGCACTGCAAAGTTTGACGTAACTACGAAGACGAACTAATACATTATTCCTCCACAACAAAGCTCAAACATCCAATACTGAAGTAGTCAAAAATCAAACACAACACTGAAATAAATGTCTTCGATATACCTTATCGCACATCCGTGATTGACCAGCGACAAACTTTTTTGAGAGCTTCTCACTGGTCACATTTTTAAAAATCACATCTGTGAAGATGTAATCACAAGGGTTATAATAACGCATACCTCTTGATACTGTATGTTCATATCCTCCAAAAGAAGGCCTCTACCATGCCCAAAACATGTTGAACTGTATGTATTTTGTCCTGCATTCACCCCATGCTCATTTTCGAGCCTCACTGAAATTGTCTGAGATTCAGGAGCTGGTCCCGTCTAATGCAAACAGCCCACTGCTGCTCACCCCACCCCATTGACTCCTTGGCTGACTTTCATTTCCATGATGACCAAAGAACAACAACCGTCGACTATTTCTGGAAGCGGGAGCAGCCTAGAGTGTCAAGAAAACAAGTACTATACACAGGAAATTGTATGGTCACATTTGAAAGTAGCACTTCATCATCATCAAGCCTCTGGGTAACACTTGGCAAATTTGTAGGGTACGTATAGTACGTAAGTGCGTATGGTTGGCACCGCTGCTTTGGCTGACGTGAGTTTGATTCCTGGCCAAGGCTGGAGCTAGTCAGTGTTATATCTTTGGCTGATGGTGACAAAAGTTTTTTTTTTTTTTTTTTTTTTTTTTAAATCCTTTCATGCATCCTGTAACATGATAAGCTGTCCACTGTACCAACCGCTGTCCCCGAAAGGATTAAATTTAGTTGTACAGGTTCTTGGCCAAAATAATAGTGGGAACAAAGTTTGGAAATGGTTTATGTTGGTCTATTTTAATATGTTTGAATACAAGCCTTGTGGATGCTTTACTACTATCCACTAGTCATGCAAATAATGTGAAGACAATGCAATCAAGACACAGACCAACTCCTTTACAGACTTGACTGTTATTGCCAATAATTGTTGAATAGTGATTGCACTCGTCGTGCAGTGATGTGTTGCCTGTCCGAGCCCCAGATTAAAAGGACAAAAAAGAGGGCTGGGTTGTGTTAGGAAGGGCATCTGGCTGGCATAAAAAAATGTTAAATCATGCAAATGACTCTTTGTGGCAACTCCTTTGGGACAAGCCAAAGGTCACAAAATTATTATTATTTTTTAATCTTGTGGTTTTACATGTATTTTTTTGACTGTTAACTCATATGGATGGTTACACATTTATTATTTTCCATTTCATCAAGTGTGACTATTTATTTCAGGTAAATAATTTGCTTAAGGTTCAATATTGGATCCCACAGTCAAAGAGGAGGACATAATTGGCATGCTTTACAAAAAATAATGAGCATTCATGCATAATTATTATGAGGGACAAAAGCAAACAGAAGGCAAACAAATGGACACAGAGACTTTCTTACCGAGGGACACCTCACGGGCAAAGGCCATGCAGACCAGCAACAGAGGGAGGCCAACAGATACATATTTGATGACCCTGTCCAAGGGAAGTTCCATCTCCAGGTGGCTGATCCGGTTTAGCGCGGCACTGTCTGGCAACAGGGCATCAGAGAGCATGGCCCTTGCCGCTTCCTTGGCAATGGACATTTTCAATACCTAACATGTTAAAACATGCAGCATAATCATGTTATCTGGTGTGTTGCGTAGGTCCATTAAAGGTCCGTTTTTGAAACATGAACCAGATACATGCAATTTTTTACAGCACATGCCAAGTTTAGGCAAAACAACCACTTACTGTATGTCTTCCAGGTTACTCCAGTGGTGCTCATAGAAAAAGTCGTTGCAAAGCAAGAGCTTTGGACAGTTTTGGAAGGTGCCTTATGTATTCTGGGCGTGTTTTCGGGAAATGAGAGGTTGGATTTTGTTTGAACCAGATTGAACCAGGCCCAAGCCTAATTACAGAGAACACATTTGGGAGCATGCACCCACCCAGATGGTCCTGACTCCAGCAGACCTTCCACTACATTTTGCCAGGCTATGCAATTATATGTGTGTAAATGTGCATGTTTCTTTGGCCCGACCCTACTTTTGAAGCACGGCGGCTCCGTCTTCCTTCAAACAAGTGAGTCAATGCCAGTGGTTGACTAAGGCTCTATCATTTGCGAGACTATTTTTACATTGTGCAGGCCGGAATCTATTTCTTTTAACGTACTTGAAGTTTGCAGTACATGTGTCACAGAAAAACTCAGACTGTGCAAAAAATAAAATAAAATCGATGTGATTGAATGAATATGACATGCATGCTCTGAAAGCATGACAAATGAAACTAAAATTTGTTCTGACAAGAAATTGGGCCAAGCAACAATCTGTCTGTGGCTGGAAACTAACTGCTGATTTTCGCTGCTCCAGGCATAGCAATTTCCTTGTTTTCATCTTTTCTTTCAGAGAGGATGCACCCTGTGACTTCTATATGATGCCGTTTATAACAATGCCGTTTACTCGCCGTAGGGAGAAGTAAGGCCACTGGCGTTATCTTATGTTGCCACTCGCTTTGAGAGGCTCTCATTACTCCGTACAGCGATCTCATGTAAAACACAAACTAATACAGTAACTGTGTTATCAGCTAAAAAAAAATGTGTATGTGTATACACACACACACACACACACACACACACACACACACACACACACACACACAATTACCACATACACACTGTCTTCACCTGCACCGATGAACATCCAGGGTACGGACATCGAGAGGGTGACCTCCTACAAGTACCTAGGTGTTGTTCTAAACAATAAACTGGACTGGTCTACGAACATGGACGTCCTGATTAGGAAAGGACAGAGCCGACTCTTCCTACTCAGGAAAGTGAGGTCTTTTGGGGTTCAGGGGCCACTCCTTAAGACTTTCTATAACTCGGTGGTGGCTTCGGCCATCCATTATGGCATTGTCTGCTGGTCAGGCAGCATCTCGGCCTGGGACAGAAAGAGACTGGAACGACTGGTCAGAAGGGCCAGTTCTTTCCTAGGCTGCTCCCTGGACACTCTGGAGGAAGTGGGCAACAGGAGGATGCTAGTTCAGCGAAAAGCTATGATGGACAGTCCCTCCCACCCCCTCCAGCCTGCCCTGACAGCACTGGGTAGCTCCTTCAGCCAGAGACTGTTCCACCCGCGCCGCAAGAAGGAGAGATACTGCCGCTCGTTCCTACCGACTGCTGTCAGGCTGCTGAATAAAAAATAAAATCCGTGAAAAACTAGTAACAATTGTAAATAGCACAGCCACCTTATCTATATCTATATTTATATTGCACTTAATTATATATATATATATACTTTACACACACACACTTGTTCTTCTACTTCTCCCTTTCATAATTTTGCAGCTGTAAATTGGGAATGTGTCCATTGTGAGACAAATAAAGGGTTTCTTATTTTATCTTATTTTACATACATCCTGAATTTATGGATAAAAAATTTAAGTCAATTTCATCTCTTTCAAAACAAACTGTCATGTTGCATTTCTTGCATGTCTCCAGCAGGTGGCAGTCGAGGGCCCTCCCTTGAAGTCCAAGATGGCGCCCGAGTAGGCAGCCGTCGGCAAGTGCTCTTGGGCTACTGAGCAACAATTGCGCTGAACAGAAAGGGGTGTGTTCATACACCAGCAAAGTCTTGAGTCAATTCCAACCCCCATCATGCATAGGAAGCTTCCCAACAGGGCTACGATACTTGGTGGGAAAAAAAAAAAAATCTTGTGACTTGGTCGAAAAATCCAAGAGCCAAAATGCATCAAAATAAATGCTGTGACATAACTGTCTGATCTCTGGTGGCGAAATTCATGATTCAACTATGAATTACGAAGACTTGTATGTACATACACTGATTTAATGGTGCAAACTTTGTGGATACATGTTTTACTTTCGTCAATGGACGCTACAGCTTCGTGTTTGCTTTCAAAACTTAGCTTGTAGCAGACATGTTCACATTTTCAGCATGACGTCTCTGATCCACTGGTAAAAGGACACTTTGATCCTCTCCTCTTTCATCTATAACTGCTTCAGACAACAAAGTGTATGCAGGAAAGTGGTAAAGATTGCACGACTGTCTGTGTCCTATGTGTTGTGTTGTGTTATTTTTGTTATTTTGACTTCAAGATGGCGCCGCGAGAGTGGCTGCCTTTCCAGCAGCTCCTATATTTTGTTGTTCTACTTCTTCCATTCATAACTTTGCTGCTGTGAATTGGGAATTTCTCCATTGCGAGACTAATAAAGGTTTTCTTATCTTATCTTATCCTCACTGTGCACACCTGCTGCCAATGTTCTTAACAATTGCCATGGATTGAAGGACTGCCAAGATGTCAACCCTTTGTCGGATTTTTCCTCATCTCACTCATGACTTTGTCTCCGAGTGTTGAATTCTCTAGACAATATTTCCAGTTCACGCCAAGTATTTTCTCGCCTCGTTTTTGCTTTCGTCAAAGTAAGTATTTTTATTGCTAAGCTTAGTCTCGGTTTTGTATCCTTTGTGTCTTGATTATTTTCTTGCCTTTTCATGACAAGCCATTTCCGTTCATATTATCCTCCTTGCCTTTAGCAGGCGTTTTTAGTTAGGGTAGTTTTGTTTTTCCCTGGTTATTGTAACTAGCGTTATTTTGTTGTACTTTGTCAGTCTTACCTTTTTGTATCAATAAACCCTTTTTGTTCAATTCCATCTGAGTCCACATTTTGAGAGTCCTATTCTGTTCCGGTCCGATTCTGTTGCGGACAACTTCCGGAACCGTAACACAGTCATTATTTTATGTAAATTAACCTTTTATTGATTGATGAACACTTAATTGACATTAAACAATGATAACAATCTCCCTCACCCCTTTCTGAACACTCAAAGACATTTCGCAGCGGATACACTACTCACGCACTCGTACGTTCACACTCCGGTGGTGGTAAACTACGTTTTGTAGCCACAGCTGCTATTAGCATGACTACCATTGCGCACCTGCGGCCCCTCCGACCACCACCAAACATTCACATCCAGCCATACGCCAGCTTGAGTGACACTGGAGGCAAGGTGGGCGAAGTGTCTTGCCCAAGGATACGTGACTCAAGACAGAGCCGGAATCGAACAATGGACCCTCCGGTTACCAGACAAGTCGCTCTACCTCTGACACATATCAGATATGCAACATTTTCTTCCTGATACATCTCTTTCAGCGTTTGTCTCTTCAAATGATCACGTATACGCCATTTCCAGAAAATCACATCACTTGTGGGCTATTTTTGGAAAAGGCCTGCAAGCTACTGATGTGGTCCTTGGGGGCAATACAAATTCTTACTTTTCAACGGGGACCGTCTCATTATTTTCTTTGATGTTATGTTTTGTTTAATGATTTTTCTTTTCTGAAGGGCCTTGTAGTGCAATTGGTGTACAATCAAATGGAAATAGTTGTTTTTTTTTTCTGGTCACTGATGTTTTTCTTTGAAGAATGGTGGACATTTTTAGAAAAATACTGCCAGTTTATGTAAACTTATGAGCAAGACTGTATATATCACCTTGACTAAGCCTGTAAAATGAGATCATATTAGCCTCTATTCGGCTTCCGGTCAGCCTGAGATCTGATTTTAAGTGTTTAAGACTTGGCTATAAGATACTACCGAGCTTCGACGTGGATGGTGTGAAATTTTTTGAATTTCAATGAAAAGAAGACAGAAGTGGTGGTGTTTGGTCTCAGTGGCCCTTGTACATCCCATCCTGTAGACTTGGGCCCCTGGGCTCCTTATCTTAAGCCAACAGCCTTGAACTTGGGTCTTAAACTGTACAGTGATTTTAAATTGGACTGGCAAATTGGTGCCGTTGTTAAATCCAGCTTCCTTCATCTTAGGCAGCTGGCTAAAGTAAAACCTCTCGTTTCTCATGAACACTTTGAAACATTAATTAATGCCTTCGTCACATCCCGGCTGGATTATTTTAATGCACTTCACTATGGAGTCAGCCAATCCTCCATTACGCATCTCCAGTTGGTCCAGAATGTTGCTGCTCGCCTCTTGACTGGTACTCGTAAGAGGGAGCACCTAACTCCTACTCTGGCATCTCTTCACTGGCTCCCTAAACATTTTAGAGTTCTTTTTAAGATCCTATTATTTGTTTTCAAATCTTTAAATGGCCTCGCCCTACTTTACCTCTCTGAGCTCCTCTGCCCCTACACACCTGCCCGGTGCCTCAGGTGTGCAAACCAGACTCTATTAGAGGCATCAAGAATTAAGCGGGGGCTCAGGGGGGATCTTAGGAGCCATCTTGAGCCTTATGCGCTCAACAAGCTAATCTTTTAATGATTCCAAGAGCTGAAAAGAAGTCAGGAGGTTCCAAAGCAATTTCTGAGCTGTCTCGGCCCCCATACCTGCGGAGGATTGTGGATCAACAGACTAGGACTGGACCAGAGTAGGACCACTTCCCTGGAGCCATCTAACTGCAAGCAGAACTTATCATCAAGTGTGATTCATGTTGTTGATGGTGTTTCCTTCATCTGTGTTCCCTTCTCAAGATTTTGTACTTTTTTGCAGAGATGTTTTCTGAAAATTTTTCCTTTCAAGATGGGGGCGGGGGGTTAGACCAGGTGATGTCCATCTCTGTGAACTGTGGGCTTGTGAAGTCCTTTTGAGATTTTTGGGTGAATAAGTGCTTTATAAATACACTGAAAATAGAAGTGATTCAAACTGCATACTGAATGCAGTTTGAGCGAGGTGGAGCGGGTGCTAACTAGAAAGAGAGATTAAAGGGTGCCATCGCCACCTAGTGTGGTTGAGAATGCAACAACCCTTCACACCAAATCAGTTATTTCTTATGAAGGAAAAATTGCTGAAATTTGAAACATAGTCATTAATTGAAAGACCTTTGATTTCAAGCTGGCGGTCCGGCGGTTGAGTGGTTAACGCATCGGCCTCACAGTGCAGAGGTGCAGGGTTCGATTCTGGCTCCGGCCTTCCTGTGTGGAGTTTGCATGTTTGTTTGCCTGCGTGGGTTTTGTCCGGGTACTCCCGCATTCCAAATACAGTGAGGATAAACGCATGAGAAAATAGGATGGATGGATGGAGGAATGCTAACTACAGTACTTAATTTGTAATACTGCTTGCAGATAAAACAAAATACATTGTCCACATGTGTCCAGTTACATATTTTAATTATTAAAATTGGTCTATTGAAACACAGTAGATTATGACAAGAAGTGTACAAATGAAATATAAATATTCCCCCTTTGTCTATCACTTGCGCTGGAAGATCGAGTTTTAAAAAAGCAGTTGAGAAAATAATATTAATGAGCAACAGATTTCACAGTCACCACTCAACATTAAATATAACACGTTTTTTTTTTTTTTTTAGACACCTTCACAATCCAAATTAGTGAATCCCTTTTCGTGGTTGAGTACAAAAACAGAACGAAAACCCTTTACCAGTCTCTTCAAAATCCTTCACATAAAACTGAATTCACGGCAGACTTTTCTTCCACGACTTGCTCAGTCCCTCATCTTCATCAAAATGATTTTCTTTCAATGAAAAGTCCGTCCGGAGATGACCATGGCTTATTCAGTCGGAGATTCCAAATTCCTCGACTGATTGTGTGATTCCAACTGACGTGGGAAAAAGTTTGCGGGGGGTTGGTAACTTTTGCCGCGCTCCCCTTTCGGAAAAGCAACATACAATAATCACCTAAAAGAGCAAAGCAGATCTCGAAGGACACTGCAGACAGCCATCATTGTCATGTTGCTTGAGCTTATCTTCTGAGCCCCAAACGAAAACAAACAACCGAAAGCAAAAAAAAAAAAAAAAAAAAAAAAAATCTGCACACCTTCACTCATCAAGACACTTGCCTACTACATTGGATTTGCTTATGGAGAACCGAACGTTCAAAGATCATGCTTAAAAGGCTTTCGGCAAGCTCGAATACGTTGAAGTGGAAGAAAAAAAAATGCTCAGTGTTTTGTTCGACCTGAGAATCCGGAAGATTTTAACAGGGATGAAGGAGGATTGTGCAGGTATTTCAAAAGCATGCCTTCGTCTCCTCTCACTTTTTGACTAAGCCTTGCTTTTGCAAAGTGATGTAATTACAGTTGGTAACCGCATTTCGTCGAGCTAAATTGTTGGGACGATTGGCATTTCGAACACTTGTTGGACGTGCATATTAAATATGGCAACGGTGCCATATTAGGTTGGAATCGGAAATTCGCCGTGTGGATGGGCCAAGTGAGGTCAACGTCTTCGTGTCTCTCTCCTCTCCGACTATTCCAGTTCCTCTCTGTGCTCTATGCTCACATCTCTTCTTCCCGCTCCTCCGGTGGGCATCGGCCTCCCCGTATTGATTTCATTCTCTCCGTCCTCTTCCTCCTCCTCCTCCTCCATTCCTTCCTCTTCCTCTTCCCCCTCCTCCTCCTCCTCCTCATTTTCATCCTCGTCGTCCGTGCCATCCATGGAGTCATCAGCTCCAAGCATGGCTTGCTGCATGGCCAGAGTGGCAGAGTCCGATGACAGCGACTGGAGGCTGTCCAGGCTAAGTGGATCTGAGAGTCGGCAGAAAGCAGAATTATTCGCCATTAGGGGTGGGACAAAAAAACACCTATTAGAATTGGGAAATTGGTTTTGAGTTCACTGAACTGAATCCTTACATTTTAAAATGACTGGTCCTTAAATCATAACGAACCCTATTTATCCATCCATTTTCTAATTCGCTTTATCCTCTCAAGAGTCGCGAGGGGTGCTAGAGCCTATCCCAGCTGTCTTCGGGCAGTAGGCGGGGGGAACTGGTTGCCAGCCAATCACAGGGCACACATAGTAGGACAACCATTCACGCTCACAATCATACCTAGAGACAATTTAGAGCAAAGGTGTCCAACTCGAGGCCCGGGGGCCAGATCTGGCCCGTCATATCATTTTTGTGCGGCCCGCAAAAGCAAATCAACTTTTCCGAGATGCTTGCTGAAGTCTGAAACAAAATTTAAAATTGTCATATGTAATCCATCATTACTAAGAGATATTGCAAGCATGATCTCATTACATACTTATTGCATGAACGTAAACAATAGTTGAACTAACCATTATTCTTGACTTTTGATTTCAAAACAAGCATCCACCAATTTGTTGTGCACTGTGTATGTAATGTGTGGAGGTGATCAAACATTGATACGGTTTCATAAAACTCACAGCCATAGTGGCCTGCTCAGGGAAACCGTAACGACAATGTGGCCCACTACAAAAATGAGACTGACACCCCTGATTTAGAGTGTTCCATTAGCCTGCCATGCATGTTTTTGGAATGTGGGAGGAGTACCCAGAGAAAACCTACGGGGAGAACATTCAAACTCCACACAGGAAGGCCGGAGCCGGAATTGAACGCTGCACTTCTGCACCGTGAGGCCGACGTGCAAACCAGTCGACCACTGTGCTGCCAACCCTATTTATCGAGGTACATATAAAACATCTTTTAGTGGAGAGATTAGCGCACATTCTTATTATCTATCAATCCCACCCATCATGTATATCGTTGATCTTTCCAAGGGTTGGGTGCTGGAGCCTCTCCCAGTAGACTTCAGGCAATATGATGCGTATACCCTGGACTGGCTGCTAGCCAATCACAGAGCACTATTATTAGGATCAGGATGATTATTATGTCGCTGATGGTTTAGCGGTAAACTCGCCTGACTTCTGAGCAGGCAGCGTGGGATCGGTTCCCGCTCAGTTACGATGTCGGTGTGAATAGATTTTTGGCTCTATAAGCGCCCTGCGATTGACTGATGACCAGTCCGGGGTATAGTCTGCCTTCAGATGGGATAGATTCCCCCGTGACCCTGTTCAGGAAATGCGGTGTTGGAAATTAGATGGATTTAAGATGATTATTATTCATCTATTTTCTACACAGCTTATCTTGCTCGAGGTTGCAGGGAGCATGAGCCAATCCCAGTTGACTTTGGGCAAAAGGCAGACTCCACCCTGGACTGGTCGTCAGTCAGTGGTCTTTCACCCTTTCAGGGACAGTGGTTACTACAGTGGACAGCTTATCATGTTATCAGGTTACAGGAAGCATGAAAGGCTTAAGAAAGGTTTGTTTGGTGAAGTTTCTTCCCCCCCACCTCCCAGACATTTAAACGGTTGAAATAATGGATGGATGGATGTTTTAGTGTCTCTCAGGCATCCTTTCCCCAAGACGGTTAGCTTCTTGCATCTAAAAGATCAATAGTGGCACTCAGTGGTGGAAATGGAAACATACATGATTAAATTTCAATTCGTTTTATTTATTTATTTTGTGCACTACACAGTTAAGTCCAAGTCATACCGTGGCTAGACTTGGAATTGAAGTGCATTTTTATTTGATGAAAATCAAGGAATATAATAAAATAAATCATTTCAGTGTTATTTAACCCTTTCATGCAGCCTGTAACCTGATAAAGAGAAGCTGTCCACTGCAGTAATCGCTGTCCCTGAAAGGGCTAATGGTAGCTAAATCTAGCCAAGGTAGGAATAATCTTGGGCCTTAACTGCATGTCTTCTACATACAGTATACATGCAGTCACACAGTATATTGCATGGAAAAATGGAAAATGTCTGAATGCATATATCATAGAAAGTATTTGATAATACTGTACCGTCTGAATTATTTCCTGTTTGAGATCTGTGCGTTTGCAAAACTCCAGCCACAATGGAATCGGGCCAGAAGCGCTGGGTGGGACGATGCTGGGACTTCATCTTCTTTGCTTTAGGAGCTGGGTCAGGGTTACTGGCATCCAGCATAGGCTGGAGGATACGCCGGCGAGCATTGATGAACCTGAAAACAGAGAGGGAAAATGAAGTTGATGCCTTCAATTACCCAGACATATTTTGAAAATGTGGCATAAATTCCACTTAAGCATGAGAGGAACATGCATACTCCACACATGCGGGCCTGAACTCTCGCAAGCCTCGAAATAAGCGGTTTCGCATCACAGATTGTGAGTCAAAATTTGTATTTTGCGGCTCATCAAAACACATTGAATAGCAAAACTGAAAATCTTCCCAAAAAGCTTCGCTGGGCTGGACGCACGCACGTTAATGCGGCAACAACGTGTCTATGCCACCTATGCACGGCTAGTACAAAGTCGAGGCAGGCTTGGTCCTTATACCGCACCAGCTAAGTAGCAATGAGCTTCAGCTTGCTAGTTAGTGTGGCCAAACATGTTGGTCTGCAAAGAAAAAAAGTGATATGGAGTTTTTTTCAGAAATGTCACAGCTATAAATGTTGAGGCATGATAAAATCTGGACTGCACAAGCTTTTATTAGTCAAATTTAAAAACAACAAAAAAAGGGAATGTCTCAAAAACCTGATGTGCTAGAAAAAAAAAGTCAGGACGTGTTTAAATCAGCGTCAAAAATACGTTGGGAGATATCTCAAGCCTTTGCTGATTAAAATTTGCTGTTGACAGGTGTTATTAGTAGACAATACATAAGACAACCAGAAGATGGCAGCATAGGGTAAGTCAAGTGTTCCCACAACAGCGCAGGTCAAGAACATCTTACCAGTTATTCACTTGCAAAAGTGTCAAGCTTGTTTGTGCTGCAATTTGCCTTTTCTCGTCCTCTGTTGGATACGGGTGCTAGCGGGAGAACAGAACACAGCATTTGGCATCAATAATTTTGTTTTGTCACCCTCAGCACATGATATTGTACATGCCATTTAGCTGTTATTTCTGCCTTACCATAAGATGCTGAAAGAGCCATGAGCGCATGATGTTAGTGGCTTGTTTGGGAAGGACCCCCCTCTTATTCCTTGACTTCTTGTCTTCGCTGTCCAATAGGGCTGACAGATCGACATTTAACTGTGGTAGAAGAGTCATGGATTATTGACACAAGGTAGTAAGAGAAAGGTAAAATCAAATTGGATGCATGGACTTAGTTAATGTTACCACGGTAACACAAGGAGGCAACCAGTCATCTTTTTTTTTTCCTGTGACAATGGTAGAAACACATCTTGAAGTGTCACCATGGTAACTGAGTTTGAAAAATAATGCTTCTTCCCTCAACCTGAAAAACATTTTTAGGTGTCCTGGAAAGCATGACGTGAGTGTCATTCATTATTATGACTAAATTATAAAAATTCCCATCTTTCACTATGTGGAGATAATGTCGTGTTTTCGGTAGCTTTCAGAAGTATCAGAAGGTCAGAGGTTCAGGATTCATTGTTCAATTTTTAAGCTGGAACACTCCAACTGCAATTATTGTGTACATTGAACTTAGATGATTAAATTATATATATATATATATATATATATATATATATATA